AGTTGTGGAAAAACTCTGAGACACCAGCAGTTAAGGGGGGAAAAAATTTGGTTTCTCTGTCTTTTTCGACAAAACTGCGCTGAATGTCACTGCCGGTTGCTAGTTGTTTACGTCAATTCGTAACATCACCAGGGAGAGAATGAGAAAAGTTACACTTGGTTACTATGCTGCAATTTTACTGTTCTGATAACAATCCAATAATGAAAAGACCAAATGTAAACGTCTTCCAATATGCATTCGATAGTAACTCAATCACTCAAATTACTTTCTGAAGATGTAGCTAGACCAAATGTAAATGCACCTGGTTGTTCGGGTAACATTTGTAAACTTTTTCCCCAAACCACACATAAGGGGGCAATCACAGATAGCACATGGATGAAGTAAGCACAACTCTAACATTAGTTTCAATATGGGGTTAAGAGAGTGAACAAAATTCCGCTGTTAGCATTAGCGGCATCGCGGATGCTAATATGTACATATATCATGGAAACAGGGGATCAAATTAATATCAGTATTGCAGAGACATATTTATATGGCCAAGTGTAAATGAGATATGCATATGCAATCGGACTGCAATCTTATTCCAAATATATTTGTGTTTTTAATCTTTCATTGAAATGTTGTAACACATTTCACCACTGAAACGTTTTTTTTTTGCACCTTTCAAACTCTCCCTTACAACCACCTGTCAAAGGCCAGTTTTCATGATCTAATCCATCCCTAGTGGATAAAGTTGGGTCCAATCCTACATTTTAATTCTCATTAAATATGCTGTATTCTCAGAAAAAAAGGTAAGGTGCATTTTAGTACCTTAAAGGTACATAATTGTACCTACAATGTACATATTGGTACCTAAATGGTACATAATGTGGATAGACTTACACTCTGAAAGCTTTAAACACATTTAGTTGTATTGATATTAATAACTGACATTACTAATTGACTATATATGTCTTAATTTTGAGCTCTAACAAAAACTACCTGTTGCTACCATGGTTCATCTATAGTACCATTACCATCTATGGCTACAGTACTTAGTACTTAGACACTAGCAGAAGTTTCTGACAGATATTTAGTTGATAAGCCATTTTATTTGACACAAATTGTGTGGGTTTGTCGAAATTAATTAAAATCGCTTCTACATTACGTTGAAAACTTTGATTAAACAAGCCCCCTAACCTAGACAGGAAGGCATGGTTTGCCTAAACGCTGCCAGAATGACACCTGTGAGCAGATTCGTCTGAGCAGCAAAGCCTTGAGGAGGGGAGCAAGGCCTGCTGACAGCTGTCTGGAGACACGAGGGCTTTGTTTACTCAGTTGTGAATGTGCATTGTCACTCGAGTGGGTGTACACAGGGATAAAGCAGTGATTGAGTACAACCAGACATTACAGGAAGAGAGATGCACAGTCAGTAATCTGTACTCCTATCAGGCACAGCACTGCGAAAGATACAAACTTTCTACTAAAATCCAATCAAAGCAGGATTACAGGTGTCCTTGCTGTGACGATAAACATGAGAGTGGAAATCGATTTTTATATTATCATTTTAGACTCAAATTTTCATAAAAAGTGGTTTACAACTCTCTGTAAAGCACTAAATTTGGTCATTCAGTCGGTCTATAATCGCACCGACTGACCTCTTTGCATCCACACAGAAGATACAAACTGTGTACGAAGATGTGAGGACCATAAATAGAAAGCTCTTTACAAGAAACACTATTTTTCCATGCTGCCAAAACAATGCCGGGGAGCAGTAGCCTTCCAGCACAACGGAAGAGACGCGCTTGACCGTGAGTGGTTTCAAAGAGAGAGAGATGATGGGAAGGATAGAATGGAGAATGAACAATAAAGTGAGAGAGAGAGAGAGACGGGTGCTCTTAAGGACTTGCCTTCAGCTTTCAATTATTGATGGATTCAAAATGCCACCTACTGAATACACCGACTGCATTTACATAAATGAGAATACTCCAGTGTTAATTGGAATTTGGCCCTATGTTGATTATGCATGCATAATTCAACTGCAATAATCCCATTTAGCAACATTCATATTACAAGAAATCTGAATAAAAGATCCAAAATATGCCTGCATAAATCAGAAATGTGGGTCATGTAAACACCTTATTCCGAATATCCACTGTCATGGAATATTGATCTGTATCTGCGTATGAGCAAACAAAAGTAACAGGGGGTATTTTATATATATATATATATATATATATATATATATATATATATATATATATATATTATATTAATATAATTG